AAACAAATAGCAAACCTATACACGTTCAAAACATCACTACTTAAACTAAAAGATTAATTTACAATGATACGTCCTGTGTGCCGAATAAACAAACAAACAAACAAACAAATAAATAAATAAATGGAAACAAGAAAAACCGTTGCACCTGTGGTTATACAAACAAAAATACGCTCTAGGTGCAATATGCAACAGAGGGATAAAAGCGATGGTTAAAATTTATGAGGTCACTCAAATTAAAGCATCGAGCGTTTCGATTTTGATTTTTCACCATTTCTGCGCCGTTTAAATTCTCTTTTTTCTCCTTCAGTCAGCTTCGTCTTTTTTTGTGAGAAAGATAAATGGCGATTAAAAAGTTCAGTCTTTCTTGATACAACCCGGCCCATATTATGTTAATTTTTTCTTTCTACACGCGAGTTGTGACTAAAAGATGTAGCAAATGGTTAATTTGATTACTGAAACCAAAGACCAACTGGTCCACCGTCCTCCCTCCACGCGCCTAGAAAGGAAAAAGAAGGCATCGCGAGGAATTAATCTAATAACATACAAAGGGCCGAGAAAAGTCCTTTATGATATTTTGCCGAGGCAAATACAATTATAGCTTTTACCATCCGTTTCCCCTATTCAAACAGCTCTTTATTCTCATGATCTGTGGTCCACCAGCTACCGAAACGCCCATCTTTTTATATTTTCAACATCTCCTTTCATACTATCAACTGGTTCTGCGATCTCTTGGGCGGACTAAAATGTCAACGTTAACTCTTTGATATTACTGTTTGAATGAGCGACCTGTCCAAGCTTAAAGAAAACAAGCACACAACAAGTTTACGGGCTCGCGCGCAAACAGACGCACAAGTTATTCTAAAGAATGTATTTGGATCCGCTTGGCTATAATCTGTGATAAATCAGTTAAATCAGCTTGCACCGGCATAATATCGTTAACAGGTCAATAGCACGAAGCATTCTAAATTAAGCCTTATTCTAACAACAAACCGTAAAACTGTACGTTATCAGTGATTAACAGTGTGGTAATGGTTCAATAACCGTAATTTAGAAGGTTATTTGTGATTTAATGACTTATAAATACAAATACACAAAATAATGTTCTTTTTAGCAACATCATATGACCCCTTTAAGAAGCACAACTGTTAAGAAATGTTAAGAAATGTTTCTTGAGCGTCAAATCAGCATAATAAATTATTTATGAAGGATCATGTGACAGTAAAAACTGGAGTATATTTTAAAATATATTCATAGACAGACATGGTCACTATGAATTATTGTTGTTGTGGAAAAGTGAGATGATGGCAAACTTTGTTAAAATGCAAGGTATGTTCTAAAAGCTAGGAATACCCATACGCTTATTCATAAACAAGCGTGCACAACATCTGCATCATTGCTCATGTACTGTATGTAGTATGGCTTAAATAAAAATCATGCCAGCACACCTCACACATATAGTACTGTAATCTCTTACACACATACACACCATTCACTCATCCATGACAAACATTCCTATTCTACCCAGCAACGCTCCTTAATAACAGCCCCCCCATTTCCCTCTGGCCACAGACAGACCCAGCCACGCACGCAAATTCCCGATGCTGAGCCTCTAACGCACAGCCCAGACGCAGCTTTCCCTTGCTGGAAGAGGGGTGGGGGGAGAGTTTCCCCATCTTTCTGCAGGCGGGCTGTTTTTACCATGCTCACAAACATGAATTAATGAGAGCCAACAAAAAGGCTGATGGCGTCGGGGTCACTCATGCATACTTCAGCTCAGTACAGTAGCAGCTCAGCGGGGGTCTGACATACTGTCTGCCCGTCTGAGGTGGCGTGAGTATGAGGGGTCAGCACATGACTGGCAGGGTCTCATACGCTCAAATATACGCTCTGATGTACGCACACACATACAGACAGCCTGTCTGAGAAACAAGCTGTAGTAAAGCATAATGTCACCACTGCAGGGTAAAGGCGTGTGACAGCACATCTGACCCAGTAATGGAGGGAACGTGCCCGTCTGGATGGTTTCACGCAACTGTGTTTATGTGGTATTAAAGTGTCAGGGAATGGGGGAAATAAAATGCAATGATAAAAGGAAAAGAAAATTCACAAATGGGATTAATTTTCAATTAATAATGCAAATAAAATTAGATAAATAACTATTTATTCAATAAATAAGTGTAAAAAATCTTTAAAAGATTATTTGTATATTTATTTATTGAATAATTATTAATAATTTATTATTAGTAGTAGTATTATTAGTATTATTATTGTTGTTGTTGTTGTTGTTGTTATCGTTAAAGTTAAACTGATCAAGTTGTTCATTTATTTGTGTATGTTATTATTAGTAGTAGTATTATTAGTATTATTAGTATTGTTGTTGTTGTTGTTGTTATCGTTATTATTATCTTTTGGATAATAAGGGTAGCAAATTCGCAGAAAAAAGCTTAATCATCAGACCTCTTATCTTCTAAAATCGCCGCAGAACATAATTTTGTAGTGGTAACAAGGTTCTTGCGTTGCACCCATGTCTTGGAGATAGCACAATATATTTAATCATGCGTAATGTAGACTTCTTAAATGTTGAAATTGTCATTATTCTAACTATATTGTATAAATGAAAAACATTAAGAATTATTTCTTAGCTGTGGCTATCCAACGTTTTTTTATTACAAGTTGTATAACAGGCTTTGTATATATTTATTTCAAATACACGAATGATCAGCCAAAGACGATTTCTCACGTCTTTCTTACCGTGAAAAAAATTCAAGGCCACATCCTTTGTTATTGATCGTATGTAACGCATAAGCAAAAACAAATAGCAAACCTATACACGTTCAAAACATCACTACTTAAACTAAAAGATTAATTTACAATGATACGTCCTGTGTGCCGAATAAACAAACAAACAAACAAACAAATAAATAAATAAATAAATGGAAACAAGAAAAACCGTTGCACCTGTGGTTATACAAACAAAAATACACTCTAGGTGCAATATGCAACAGAGGGATAAAAGCGATGGTTAAAATTTATGAGGTCACTCAAATTAAAGCATCGAGCGTTTCGATTTTGATTTTTCACCATTTCTGCGCCGTTTAAATTATCTTTTTTC